GAAAACCCCTCCAGACCCCAAGCAAGCTCCCCAAAGACCACTGAAAACCCCTTGAGACCCCAAGCAAGCTCCCCAAAGACCACTGAAAACCCCTCGAGACCCCCTCAAACCCCCTTAACACCCCCCAGGCCCTCAGGGCACCCCCCCAGCCCCTCACCTGGACAGGTCGAGGCTGTGGGGCACGCGGGCCAGGTCGTTGACCAACCCCTTCTTGAGGAACAGGCGGATGATGTTGTTCATGCCGTTGTGGGGCGGCTTGGCCGCGCTGCTGTAGAAGCTCGAGGTGGACGGGCACGACTCCATGATGGTGCTGATGATGCACATGACGGCCTGGAGCCTGCGGGGACAGCGCAGCGGTCACTCGGGGGGACAGCGGTCACTCGGGGGGACAGCGGTCACTCCAGGGACAGCGGTCACTCCAGGGGACAGTGGTCACTCGGGGGGGATGGGGGACAAGGGATGCTCTGAGGGACAGCGGTCCCTCTAGGAGGACAGTGGTCATTCAGGAGGAATGGCGGACAGTCTGGAGGACAGTGGTCACTCCAGGGGACAGCGGTCACTCTGGGGGACAGTGGTCACTCCAGGGGACAGCGGTCACTCCGGGGGACAGCGGTCACTCGGGGGGACAGCGGTCACTTCGGGGGACAGCAGTCACTCAAGGGGACAGGCCACACTCTCAAGTGACAATGGACACTCTGGGGGACACCGGTCACGCCATGGGGACACTGGTCATTCCGGGTGGACACTGACACTGTTCACTCCAGGGGGATAAAGGGACACTGGTCACGTTGTGGGGGACAGAGGATGGGAGACATCGGTCACCTCGGGGCTGTCTCTGCTGTCCCTCGCATTGTCCCCAGCTGTCCCCACCATTGTCCCCAGCTCCCAGCTGTCCCCACACTATCTCCACACTGTCCCCACGGTACCCACATGCTGTCCCCACATTGTCCCCACATTGTCCCCAGCTGTCCCCACACTGTCCCCAGCTGTCCCCACATTGTCCCCACGCTGTCCATTGTCCCCACACTGTCCCCAGCTGTCCCCACGCTGTCCCCACATTGTTCCCACGCTGTCCCCACGCTGTCCATTGTCCCCACACTGTCTCCAGCTGTCCCCACATTGTCCCCAGCTGTCCCCACACTGTCCCCACGCTGTCCCCAGCTGTCCCCACATTGTCCCCACACTGTCCCCACGCTGTCCCCAGCTGTCCCCACATTGTCCCCACACTGTCCCCACGCTGTCCCCACGCTGTCCATTGTCCCCACACTGTCCCCACGCTGTCCCCACGCTGTCCCCACGCTGTCCCCAGCTGTCCCCACGCTGTCCCCACACTGTCCATTGTCCCCACACTGTCTCCAGCTGTCCCCACACTGTCCCCACGCTGTCCCCACACTGTCCCCACACTGTCCCCACACTGTCCCCACGCTGTCCCCACACTGTCCCCACATTGTCCCCACACTGTCCCCACACTGTCCCCACACTGTCCCCACACTGTCCCCAGCTGTCCCCACACTGTCCCCACGCTGTCCCCACGCTGTCCCCACACCTGGCGTGTTTCTCGGTGCTCTCGGCCATGGCCAGGGCGCGGCCGAGGGCGGCCTTGACCTCGTTGACCAGGGCCACCTGGGCATCGGTGCCGCTGCCGGCCGCGGCCAGGCTGGCCAGGAAGAGCCGCGCCAGCGCCGGCGTGTCCTTGTCCTCGGCGTTCTGCTGGTGGGGCAGCAGGTGGTCCAGGACAAAGGCCAGCACGCTGCAGTCCTGGGGGGACACAGGGGTCACACGCCCGGACCCACGGCCGGAGGGACCCAGGGGACCCCCAGGGTAAGGGGACAGGGGACCCTCGAGCACAGGGGACAGGATTGAGGTGCTTGGGGTGACAGGGGCCCCCAAGCACAGGGGACAGGATTGGGGTGTCTGGGGGGACAGGGGACCCCAATCAGTGGGGTGACAGGGGACCCTCGAGCACAGGGGACAGGATTGGGGTGTCTGGGGGGACAGGGGACCCCAATCAGTGGGGTGACAGGGGCCCCCAAGCACAGGGGACAGGATTGAGGTGCTGGGGGGGACAGGGGACCCCAATCAGTGGGGTGACAGGGGACCCTCAAGCACAGGGGACAGGACTGGGGTGTCTGGGGGGACAGGGGACCCCAATCAGTGGGGTGACAGGGGCCCCCAAGCACAGGAGACAGGACTGAGGTGCTTGGGGGGACAGGGGACCCCAATCAGTGGGGTGACCCTGAGCACAGGAGGTGGGACTGAGGTGTCTGGGGGTACAGGGGACCCTCACAATCAAGGTGACAAGGGGTGACAAGTGACACCCCTCCCCGAGGTGACAACAGACCCCAGAGCACAGGGAGGTGACAGAACCCCCTCATGCACACCCGGACAGGGACACAGCTGTCTCTGCTGGCCCTGTCCCCACCGTGTCACCTCCCCTCACTGCACACCCTGACAGACACACACGGCTGTCCCTGTGCCCTGCCCCTCTGGTGGCCGTGTCCCCGCGGTGTCACCTCCTTGATGAGCTCGGACTGCCCCACGCTGTAGCTGTAGTTGGCGATCAGGGCGGCGATGCCCACGTAGGAGCGCACCAGCTCGGCCAGCAGCCGCAGGATGGTCGAGGTGGGCATCAGGGGCTTGGAGCCCCGCGCCCGGCCCCGCTCCTCGCCACGCTCCCCCTCCTTCTCCTTGCGGCCCTCGCGGCCCTCCTCGGGGCTGGACGCTGTGGGGACACGGGGACAGTCAGGGGACAGTCAGGGGACACGGGGACAGCGTCAGGGGACACAGGGACAGTGTCAGGGGACACGGGGACAGTGCCAGGGGACACGGGGACAGTGTCAGGGGACAGTCAGGAGACACGGGGACAGTGTCAGGGGACAGTCAGGGGACACGGGGACAGCGTCAGGGGACACGGGGACAGTGTCAGGGGACAGTCAGGGGACACGGGGACAGTGCCAGGGGACACGGGGACAGTGTCAAGGGACAGTCAGGGGACACGGGGACAGTGTCAGGGGACACGGGGACAGTGCCAGGGGACAGTCAGGGGACACAGGGACAGCATCAGGGGACACGGGGACACAGGGACAGCATCAGGGGACACGGGGACAGTGTCAGGGGACAGTCAGGGGACACGGGGACAGCGTCAGGGGACACAGGGACAGTGCCAGGGGACACGGGGACAGTGCCAGGGGACAGTCAGGGGACACAGGGACAGCATCAGGGGACACGGGGACAGCGTCAGGGGACAGTCAGGGGACATGGGGACAGTGTCAGGGGACACGGGGACAGCGTCAGGGGACATGGGGACAGTGCCAGGGGACACGGGGACAGCGTCAGGGGACACAGGGGAGCAGGGGGGCACAGGAGAGCATCCTTAGGGGACACCAGGGGGCACAGGGGGCATCATTGAGGGGTGCAGAGGGGATGGTGAAAGTCTCAAAGACACAGAGAGGACCTCAGGGGACGTGGAGGGGACAGTGGGGGCTCGGGGACAGAGGGGACATTGGGATGTGTGGGGATAGAGAGAAGATGTTGGGGAGGTTGGGAGTATCGGGGTCACAGGGATGGGAGGGGACATCAGGGACAAGCAGGGGACACCAGAGGACTCGGGGGGACAGTGCCACCTTCTCCCTGGGGGGTTCCCGAGGGCGGTGTCTCGGCCGTGGCTCCATCAGCAGCAAAAACCTGGGCCTGGGGGAGCAGGGGGGGGTCAGAGCGTGGGGGAGCCCCCCAAAACCCCACAGACCCACAAAGCCCCCCATTACCCCCTCCCTCAAATATCCCTGGGAACACTGGGCCCTCCAAATCCCCCCAAACCAACACCCAGCCCCCCAAAACCACCCCCCAGGCCCC